GTGCTGAAATACCCAATGAGAAATTCATCTGACATTACAATCGGGTTCAATGAGATGAGAGCGAGGGATCCTGGTGTAGCAAAACATTTATGTCTCTTTGAAAGCACATGAACAGCCTGTTGGACCTAAGCAGTGCCGACTTAAACACGCTTCTGCATGAGGCCTCTAGGGATAGATGTTGTCATCATACAAACAAACTACACAGGGACCAAATGGTTGGGGGTAGGGAGTTGTTCTGCTTGATCTTAATGTTTTGCTGTGTTCCATCTTTGTCCCTACTAACATTATTTCTCCAGTGGGTTGGAGATTTTTCTTTACCTTTGTGTAATGTCTGTACCTTTTACTTTCAGAACACCTCACTGAAGAATCATGTTAAATAATGATCAAAAAATCTGTGTAGTTGTGGCAGGCCCCATAACACCATGTTAACGTGTTATAGGAACAAGTTGAAGAAAATGCTGAAAAACTGACAGCATGTTAAGGATGATTTATTTATACAAGTGCTAAAGTTATGTTTGATATGTTAATGCAACCTCATTTTCTAGTAAAGGCCAAACACTATTAAGTGGTTATCTGCATTGATTTTTCTATCTTCTGAAATACTTGATTCATTGTAAACCATCTTTACTCCTTTTGTGTAACTGGAACTGGGGCCATCTTTTAACAGTCTCTTTCTGGGCGAGCCTCATTGACTTTACTCAGTGATACTCTCCTGCCCCACTTCTTGCCTTCTTCATCAGTGTTCCCTTTAGCAGGTGTTCCTTTTTGCAGTTTGTCTGGATTTTCACTATAGCGTTCCAACACTCCTACCTGGAAAGTCACTGGAAGGGCTCAGCACCCACTGCAGCTTTAACTGGTGCCTCTCACAAATATCCTTGTTCTGCTGAATCATGTTACCTGATGTTCATTAAAAAAAGACTTGCCAGTAGCCTAATACTTTAAATTTTTAAGATGAGAGGGAAAAATAGACTTGTGTCTATTGTTTTTTTCCCGTCTGAATCTCTTCTTATCCTTCTGGTATGTTACCTGCTTTGCTTTTCATTTTGTGCCTTAGCTCCCTGTGATGTATCCTGTGATGGATACATAGGTATTTCTTTCAAAAGACTGAATGTGTTTAGAAGAGTTGCATGGTGGAAATACATTTAAAGAGAAGACTGAGTACCTGTTGCAAGGCATGGATGATGTTGTAATAACAATTGTACAGCTGGGCAGTGATGGTTGCTCAAGGAACGCTTGTTGGAGTAGGCTGAATGAGGTCCACTGTCTGTCAAGTACATTATCACCTGAGTCAAACTAGCTAAGGTAGGAGACTTTTTGAGGGAAATATACTCAGAGAAGAGACAAAATATGAGGATCTGAAAGAAGAGAGGAAACCTTTGTCAGGGTTTGTTGGGGGTTTCTTTTGTGTCTTCAGTATTGCCTCTCTGGCTACAGAACTCTGAATGCACATGGTAGATCATACAATGAAGCTAATTCTTATTGAGTTGTTTGTGTGAAACCTTTATGAAATTATATATTACTATTTCTGGGAATTTAGTATCCTTTACTCAGCAAAGTCTTTGGTGTTCTGATCAAGGCATATTCTCTTTGACATGTGTCTACACGGCTCTCATATTCTTGATGTGTTCGAAGTATTGGAGGTAGAGAAGCAGTTTTCTCAATTAACAGCCTGTGTTTTGTAAATTGTTGAACTCATGGGAACTTCCATTTAAGGGAACCTTAAACCTAAACCTCAGATCAGGTGTTTAGATAAGCCATGTTGCACAAAATATTTTTTCTTTGACTTTAAGAGCATTCTGTTCAAAGTTTTCCCAAATGTGAGCTTTCACAAGTTTGGGATAACAGAATTTAGACATTCTTATTTATAGTCTTTTAAATGAAACACTTCCTTTAGCTTTCAACTTTCTTAAAAGGATACATCCAACATTTCCTTTTTACCAGTACTGAGTTGGATGATGTCTTCTCTTCACTGTGCTCCAAAAAGGTTTTTTATATATGTTTTTAGAAGGAAATCCAGTTTCTTACTTGCAGCTGCTGGCATTTTAGAGCCCTGGAGTGAACCAATAAAAACACATGTTCTTTTAAGGAACATCTATTTTTACTGGACCTTGCTAACAACCAGTGACACAGAATTAAAAAAATGTTGGCTCAAATGAATAGAAGGGCTGCATTGTTTTAAATTCTGTTTTTAAAACTTTTCTTTACAGCAAGATTACTCTAAAATTCCATGTGCTCTTATGAAAAACAGTGCTTGCTTTTGGAATGTTATTTTAATGTTTTAAAAGTAGGTCAGGTATCAAAGTTGTAAAGTACAAAATTTTACTAAGACATAACACAATGTTGCTATTTAAGAGTATTATTGCAATGCTTTCACAAACAGGATAATTGAAGATTTTACTCCCTAGACAGCCAAGAATAAATCAGAACATCTTCTTTTTATTACATTGTTTTGAACATATTAAAACACTTGGGTGCAATGGTCAAATTAGATCACCATTTCTTTCAATGATGCCTTTAAAATGGATTCAAGCAGTATGCTGGTTGAATATGGCCGGTTTTTTTTCAGATATCAACATTCTTAGTGAAAGTGAAATGGAAGAGGAGTTACAAAATGTTAGCAAATTTGATGTAAATGTAATCATGTCAAGGTTGACTTGATAATGAGGCCCATCCATTTCATGTTACTTATATTGCATCTTTACTGTACATGCTCTGTGTTCTACAAGGTACTGGAGTCCCACTGCTGCTGTTTATTTCATTGTCCTGTCTTCACAGGAGTGGAGAGCAGAATTCAGATTGCATCTCTGCCCTTAGTTGTGCAATCTGCACTGTACACCAAGATCTTTTTTTGTATGTTGTAGTTAGGTTTGGCTCTAAGTATATTTTCAACTATATTTTGGAATCAAGAGAATATAAATTATTACAAGTTCAAGTGAATTCAAGTCAAGGTAAATTGAGATTTTAGTATTTTTAATAATATTTAATGTAAGAAACTCATGCTGTAGTCAAACTGGGGATTCCAGAACACTGTTTTGAAGAGGAATGCTGGTAAAGCAAAAAAAAGAGTTTTCTGTTGATCCTCAAGATGTAACATATAGTGTCATAATAATACCTGAAGTGGTATATTAATTTTTTTAATGGTGTTTAGATGTATGTTAGAGAAAAAGAATCATAACCTGGGTTTAGTTCTTCAATAGTTTTAATGTCACCTTCATGTCTGTAAACACATAATTTTCATGCTGGATATGGAAAAAGAATTACAGCTGGGGTTCTGTGATTTCTGGTTTTCTTGTGGGTATGGGTGTGAAATAAACATGTCTGACATTAGATATCCCATGTATGTAAAAATATTTATAATCAAATGTATCAATGTATCAAATGTATCTTAACATTTTTTCTGTATTTCCCTATCTATGGGAAAGTGTCTTTTTCTCTTTTTCTTGCAAAAAACCAGAAGTGTACATTAAGGGAGTTTACAACACACACTGAGAGAATGCACTAGGCCAGAGAAATTCACTGCTTTTAAAATAGGTAATGCTAATAGAAATAAGCTCAGATTTCTAAGAGAAGTAATTAAATACAAAAACAGATATGTTAATTGAATTTTTAATAGTATTGTTGGGCTCCTACAAATATTTAAAGGTAATTCAAATGGATCATTCTGTTTTATATACCATACTGGGTGCCTGATGAGTCGTACGTTGTTAATGACTTATTCTGTGTTTAAGAATTGTATCTGTTGGTATGTCTTTAAAATTTCTGTCTGTCAGCTTTCTGTTTACAGATTTTCTTTTTTTAGTGTTTACATGAGTCATGCGTCATAGTCGTATGTACTGCATTGCTCAGGTTGTATATACATTAGTTGTACATACAGGGTGGGAATTTCAGTTCTGTGTTGTCCACAGTCACTAAGATAGCACAAGAGACTGACCTGTCCAGGTCTTTCATTTCAGACAGCAGTGCTTACCTGGGCATTATGTCCCAATTCTTATTCCTTTCTTACTAGGGTTTTCAGAAAGTATGCATCAAAATATTTTTATCAATTAATTGTCTTTTGTTCCAACAGTCTATTAGCTTTGGGTTTTGGTGGTGATATTCAAACTATTTGCTTGTAATACACTGTTGCAAAATGAGCCTTCTGGTACTGTGCTTTTCCGTAGTTCTAACAGTTGTTCCCCTACATCTTCCTAGTATTTTGTCTGGTTTGTTTTGCTATTTTTTGTAAAACAATTTTTTTTCATAAAGCAATGAACTGTCCAGTGACATCAAACCAAGATAACTGGGCAAGACCTTTTATAGTTATCATAAAAAACTGAAATATAATTTGGCTCACAACTTGCACATCTTTAAAATAGATGCTCAGGAGACAGCAGTAAGTATATATATATACGTACACAGAGTAGCAAGTGTTATGTATATGCACACAGTAGCAAGTGTTAATTTTTTCTCTTTTTTTTTGTAGTTAAGTTAAATATTTAAAGAAAACAATCTTAAAACTTCTTTCAATATGTGTTGTGTGTTGGAGAATTAGAGTAACCCCGTAGTGTAAAAAATGCAAGTATAGAAGTTCCATGTATATATTCCAGTAAAAGTCTGAATCCTGAATTTGAAAGGAGGCTCTTCATTTACTTTCTTTTCTAAAAGCATGCATTATTTCCTTTATATCCACTTAATACATTAAAGGCAAAATCTAGCCATATATTGGCATAACTAGGAGTAGAAATTCAACCCAAAATTTCTAATTCTTTTTAGAACATTTTGCGAAGTGTCTTTATCTGATACTTGGCTTTTTTGGCATACAATTGGACCAGGAAGAAATTAAATAATTATTCACAATTAAAAAACATAGCTCTAGTACTATCTGGGATTGTAACTTGCTTTTATCAGATGCTTTCACTACTGCAGAAATGATGATGGGATGATTTATGTTAATTCTTTTGGCTTGTTGAAAAAAATATGCCTACACTCTTCTACTTAATGGGATTCTTTCCTCGTTGCAGTGCAAACGGCTGGAGCAGGAGCTTCATCATCTGAAAGAGCAGAACCAGACTTCAGCAAACAACACGAGACATCTGACTGCTGAAAACAATCAAGAACGTGCTCTGAAGGTAAATCTCCATTTCTTCTTGCAGGCAAATTAAGGTTGTAAGCCCCTGGTGCCAGCTTTCTGGGCTGCATATATCAGTTGTGTACATTTCGGCAGAAGTGAGCTATGGTGTTTGCCAACAACCCCTTCTTTAAACACAGATACAGCACCTTTCTGTTATGGTTTTATTTCATTTTGCATATGAATGCAACAAGAAAAAACATAACATCATCCAAATTATTGGGCTGCTAATTAACACTAAATTCTTGAGATCTGTCCTTGCAATATTGCATTTTATAAGGTGAAGAAACTGCAACTCTTTGCCTCGTGGTGCCTTTGCAAAACTAATATTTTAAAGCATGGCTGTTTGATCTGCTCCCGGCAGTGTGTGCTATATTAATAACATTGTTGACCGATACTACTAGTGACCACATAGTTGATACTACTATTTGCAAAAGGGTAGCTAGTTGGAATTGGGAGGAGGAATAATAAGTCTTGTCAATAAGAATAAAAATGAGCAGAGAGGCGGGAGAGGGTCAGAGAAAGGACAGTGTGAAGTGACAGGTTATTGCTGCTTTGAGAAAGGGAAATTGTAATGTCAGTGGAATTGATAGCTACATACCCAGCAATCTCACCGCTAGCCAAAATAAGAGACTATACCAGGTAAGATGTGCAAGCGTTGTGCACACCTCTTCAACCACTATATTCTAAAAAATCTTTTATGGGTAGTGGATATACAATATAAATACCAAAGTTACTCTGTTTATACTGTGCTGTCATTTTAGAACTGTTTGATTTAGACAGTAAGATCCAAAGATATCTCATTTATAGACAGATTTTCCTCTACCTCCTTTTCCTATTTTCTTTATATTTGGGAAACATCATTATTCATACAACAATTTGACTGAAGCAAAGTATAGGAATAAAAGTAAATTCTTGTCTAGTTTGACATTTTTCAGTAAAAAAAAAAAAAGAGTATAATGAATAAATGGAGAGAAGCTGAGTGCCAAGCAAACGCTGTATATTCCGTGGGTTTATAATTGCCATCAGAATCTATGGTGAATATTACAAAATCAGGTGTGTAATACAAAAAGCAGATTACTCAAAATAGAGGTCATAAACATTTAGGGCTGCTTCTGTCTGCAATAACAGTATTGTTTTGAATCTGGTATCACTGAAAGTGCTTGTCAAGCATGATACTTATTGAATGTAGTATTGTTTTTCATTAATTGAATGCTGACTTGGGTTTTTTGGGTGTCATTGAAAATATTACACACAGAGTCTTTCTGTTAGGAAAAAAATGTTTTATTTAAACTACACTTTTTACATTTAATATTGCCTGACATAATGCTTAAAGAATAATTATATTTTCAGAGCAAGAAACGACTTGATAGTTCAGAGTGTTACTAGGATTTCATTCTAAGCCCGATATTGCTCTTCTAGTACCTAATCTTTAAAGAATTTCATTTCTGGCTGTCACAGACATTTTTTTATTTTTCGAAGTTAGAGGTTAATTGGTCGTAGTTTTTAAGAGATGAGATTCTAGGGAGATAAAAAAAGGAATGCTTTTCAATTTTTGGTGGTTGAACCTTTTTTAATATTGTAGCTCTGAAGAGTTTGTCTCGGTTCAAATTACTGTTGCCTACAGTGAGGACAGGTCCATTAGAGTATTTTTTAAAAGACTGATGGGTCAAGTTTTATTCTTGACCTTGAAAACTTTAAAATGCCCCAGTGAAATATTGATATATAGCATATGAGCCCTCATCCTGACCTAAGCATTCACGTAAATGAAAAGCATGTCACCCATTTTTAGTCTAGCTACAGCCTGGAAAATAGACCATCTGGTACGGATGAAAGTTGTTTCAGTGACTCCCTTAGGAATGGGTTTGTCAGTGCTCTGGGCCTGGCTGCAGCAGAGCTCCCAGAGGAAGAAATATCCAGCCAGAGCCCCCTGACAGGTAGTGGCACACAGTGCAGGGTCCTGGAACACACCTCCCCTGTGAAACCCTCTTCTTCTTAGCTGTTACCTCCTGCCTCCTGTATGCACTCAGTGGCTATTTTAAGTGCTACATGCAGAGTGCATGTACAGACCCAAGTGTCCTGTCCTGTCCCTCTCCACCACAGAACACCCTCTGAAGGTTTTCAGAGAAACAGGACAAAGCATTTGTCTCTGGGATGCAGGGTAAATATCAACACAACTACTTCTATTTTCTCCATGATCCAGGGAGCTACATTTATTTTAACCACCTCCACTGACAAGCTGGGAACTGTGCTATGTATTATTAACCTGTTCAGCAGAAGGAGTCCATGTATTTCTTCTGAGTCAGTCCAGGACAGTTTCTGTCAAGAAAGGTTTTTCAAAAGAAAATCTTTAATTTTCCCTATTCTCTTAAACTTAGTTAACATTGTCTCATTCAGTTTGGCAGTAGATGGCATTCTGATGATGAGAAATTTGATCTGCTTTAGATTTTCTTCAGGGAGTAACAGAAGCGTAAACATCAAATGTGATGCAGGGATATTTGCAATCTTAACTGGATAAAAATATAGTAATCAGGATCAGCTAGATTAAGGATAGCATATAAGTTTGTGGTAAAAGATGAGATCATTACCTCTGTTGGATTCTGAAGTACACTTAACAACAAACCCACTGGCTATAGTTTCTTTTTTACTTTTTAAAATCATCTAAAGACCCTCAGAGTAGCTCAGTTGGTTAAAACTTGATGCTACTAATGCCAGAATCATGGGTTCAATCCCCTCTATGTGCCATTCCCGAAAGAGTTGGAGTCGATGATCCTTGTGAGTCCCTTCCAACTCAGAATATTCTATGATTTTGCATTCTCTCACAATATTGAGTTGCTTGGAAGTAAAAAAAAGTGTAAGACCAATCCATAGGAAACCTATTTCATTCCACTGATGGTAGGGTCTAACAGGGTCTAAGGTGCAAGCTTTCAGATTTGTTTTTAGATATATTAGCTCACAGGACTACTGTCACCCTTCTTTGAGGCAGTAGTGGCCCATAGTCAGGACTGAGGCAAAGCAGGAGGGAGACTGTGAGGGAGGTGTAGTGGCAGTAAACTGGCCAGATCCAGGATCTGGAAATAACAAGGATGATGTAAGCACTTTTGTATACTTTCGTTTTTACAATCCTAGATCCCATGTCACACCGGAGAATCATGTCACAAATAGAACACGTGACACGTAAGGTATGCTGTGCACATTACAATGTGCCATTTCATCTTACTGTGCCATATAAGATCTGCACATCTTTGTGTGCAGAAGACAGCTCTTCATAAATAATCTCTGCATACATATTAGTAGTATGTGATTTAAAATTTCCACATTTAATATATTTATTGTATAGAGCATTCCTTACAGTGGTGTGGCGCAGTCAGCCCCACAATGCCAAACTGGCATTCCTAATTTTTATAATATTCCTATTGGTCATAGGGGATTGTATTAATTGACTGAAAAGGCCAATTTCAAATCTTCCCTCCAGGCAATGCCCACAACTGCACAGAGGTCATTCAGAGAAGCATGTGGGCCCCTATTTCCATAGTTAAAGTAAAATAATCCTCTTCTTTGTGAAACCGTTTTTAAAAATCTCTTATAATATTTCACATCGAATTATAGCTAAATCTTTTAGGGATAATTGCTTCCTAAGGGCCTATACATTTGCGCTCTTAGTACATTTTCATAAAATAAGATCTGCAGAGTGCTTTGCAGTTCTAATGTGTCAGGGTCTATATGTAAGATTATTCATTTGTGCTTGGCCTTCATAATTAACATTTGGTCTCTACTGATTCTTACAAATGTATTCCCATAATACACAGAAATAGCTGATTCAATTAAACATAGAAAAGTTGAAGAATTGCTATTTTTTCATTGGTATTCAAATATTGTTGTCTATCATTTTGTTGTTGCTAGTTTTGTAGTGTGCAATTTTGAAATTCAGAGTTTTAAGTATATATACTTTTTCTAAAGAAAAATAAAGATTTTGCTATTGTGCATGTCCTCTACTGAGAAGAATAGGAAGTCTTGTGTAACAAATAGCTTCATATGAAATTGTATGGAAAATGTTTAACTGGATTCGAATGAAATAGAGATGACTTTTTTTTTCCACAAGTGTGATCTATTTTGTAATTTTTAATTAGGTGGCATATTAAAGCAGCTACTAATCTAATTTAAAGACCAGAGAGACGTACTAATTGGACTTTGAAGGCTAACTCTTGAGATGGACAGGAGGGCTATTTCATGGTGTTATACAAATCAGGTGCCCTTTACTGGCTAAATGAGATTACTCCATCCAGTTTTGATGTCATTAGAACTTATAAAGGTTATTAATCTCCTTCAGAGCTGTTAAGATGTTAATCTTTTGTTATGATTGCCTTTTTTTGTGATGTCTGCCTATCTTTTTAGTTGCAGTTTCTTGTAGAATTTATCCTATGTGCTTCCAAAGTTTTATTACGAATATAATAAATTAAGAGTCAAGCCAAGAAAGTAACCTGAAGGACCTGTCAGAAGTTTGTCTACAGTAGTGTCATAAAGCAACTGTGACTGAAGTCATCTGCTTTCTGCTGACATATGATAATTGGGTCAAGGGTAGGAAATCCACCATGCATAGCAGTTTGGTAGTTGTTCCAGTGATGATGCCTGTAAAAAAGCCACTCCAGAAGACTTAATTTAAGTATTCCTGGTGCATGTCATAAATTGTATTAAGCTCTCTTTTGATTCCCAGAATTTCCCTGATTCTTAGAGTAGAAACCATTTTTCCATATCTACCTGACAACACCAACCACAAAAACAAATCCAGCTGACTAGTCACTCTGTCGTCCAGGAAGGGCATGATCACAAAAGATTCTGATGTTATAAGAGCTCAAAAATTTTTTCAAAAGCTTTAACATGAAGTATAAAATGTTTGCTACAGTTGAAAAGCGTGGAGTATTAATGCTATTGAGACATACAATATTAACTATGAAAAAAAGTTCTTTAAGATGATGTGGCCTTTATCTGCAAAAACTAATT